ATAAAGTAGCTTAAAAATTCTTATCACCAGGGCTGGGGATTTGGCTTAGTGGTGCCACTGCCTGCCTTGCAAGTACAAGGTCCCAAGTTCGATCCCCAGTACCAAAAAAAAAAAAAAAAATCCAAAGCAGAAACAGTCATAGAAACCCAACAGGAGAGAATGGGGAAGAATGGAAACTGAGAGGCCTCCTGAGCCTCTCCCTCCCCCTGTGGGGATGCCTGCGGGCACCCACAGTTCCCGTGCATGTGCAGCACAGGTAGTATTGCACACTTGTCCACAGAGGAAACTCTGAGTTCCAGGGGATGCCGGAAACCCCTGACAGAAAGCAGCTCTCTATATACCTATCTTTGCTAAAGTTGAATTTATAAATTAGACTTGGGAAAAGATTAATAATAGCTAATAATAAATTGAACAATTATAACAACATACTGCAATAAAAGTTATGTAAATGAAATCTGGCTCTTTTTCTCAGAATATCTCATTGTTCTGTTTGCCCATCTTCTTGAGCTAATGTGAGATGATGGAGTACCTGAAGTCAGATGAATGAGACAAGCACTGGGACACAGTATCAGGCCATGATGTGAGGGCTACCTGAGCAAAAACAGTGTATATTAATCACTTTCCTGTTGCTTGCCAAAAACGCATGACATCTCTACTTAAAGAAGGAGATGTACATTTTGGTTTTTAGAGGATTCAGTCCGTCTTCAGTTGGCTCCAAGACAGAAGTGCCATAGTGGAAGGGCCTGGTGGAGGAAAGCTCCTCAACTCAAGGCAAAGTGCAGAGAAGAGAAGGAAGCAAAGAGATGGAAGGATTCAAGAGCAAGTACACATCCTTCCAGGTCATGAAGGCAGTGAACCACACCCTCCATCTAGGCCCCACCTTAGAGCATGAGACTTTTGAGGAGCATTTTACATTTTATATGTAACTTTCAGACGTAGTTACTAAGTTACAATTGTGTAGGTAGCCTATACAGCATGGATACACAGGACAAAGGAGTGATTCACATTCAGAGCAAAAAGGAAGAGGATAGAATAGCATATCATCACTAACAATGCTGCCTAATTAAGAGCTTGTAATTGTTTATTTTTTACCACAAGTAACTTAAACTGTAGAAAGTGAAACTGGGTGTGGAGTGCAGTAGATGAAAACTGCTCCATGTACCATAGTGGTTTTTCCTCATTGGTTTTCCATATTGGTGTTACTTGATGGCAAAGCTTGGGAAATGGCCCGCATCGGAGAAGCATGTGTTTTTAAGGAAATCTTGTGAAACTAATTATCCAACAGAGTGCAGCAGCTAGAAAATTCAGGCTGCCTTGTCTTATTGCTTGGGTTTAATTCCTGCCTATGGTCCGGAGCAGCTGAGTATGTTTGGGCTAGGTACTTCATCTCTCTCCACCTGTACAGCAGGTATAGCAATATCGTCAGTGGCTGCAGAGCAGACACAATGAACCAAAAAGGGCCAAGTGGTTGAAACGGAAGCTGGCCCAGAGGAAGTGCTCAGGAAATGTTTGGCTGCATCATTACCTTCTTCGTCATCAGTGCAACTGTAGCCGCTCTCCCTCTTCTTAATGAAAGTGAACTGCTAAAAACCAAGCCGTGAAATTCTGCATCACATCCCCTGTCTCATCCTGTCAGGCCTGCCCTGAGTTGTCAAAATACTCATCTAGTTTTACTGAGAATTAACTTATCCGATATTAATCTGGTTTTCTCAAAGTAATATTTTGTCTCAGCACATTTAGTCACTATGGGAAAACTACAATATTATTTATTTTAAAGGTGTTCTTAATATTCTTGATAAATTTTGCAACATAGTACTTCTGTCATCCCTACAGTCCAATGAAATGGGCAGAACTGAAAATAAAATTTACTGCAAGTAAAATAGGGAGAAGGGGAGGGAAACAAGAATGAGAAGGAGTCAGGGGAGAGGAGTGAAACCCTGGTTCCATCATTCTGTTATTATCTGGACAGTGGCCCCTCAGTATGGAAAATATACTCAGGACCAAAGAGATAAAGCCACTGATCCATTGACAAGTCAGAGAAAACTATGCCATGCTTTGTAGCCAGTGCTATTTCCTAGTCACCCATTACTTTTGCCAGGAGACCATTCTAAGTTTTTTTTAAACTAATGTCATTGTTTCTCAGTGGAATTCAGCTGTTGCATTTGAAACTTTACCTGCTTGTTCAAACAGGTGTGACTGCACACCAGGATACATCGGTGAGCACTGTGACATTGACTTTGATGATTGCCAAGATAACAAGTGTAAAAATGGTGCACACTGCACTGATGCAGTGAATGGCTACACGTGTATCTGCCCTGAAGGTTACAGGTAAAGGCAGAAGTACACATTTACATTTAGAGTGAAGTCTTCCAGGACTCAAACCTCATGAAACCTAACATGTTTTTTCCTCCTTATTCTTCAGTGGCTTATTCTGTGAGTTCTCTCCACCCATGGTCCTCCCTCGGACCAGCCCCTGTGATAATTTTGATTGTCAGAATGGAGCTCAGTGTATCATCCGGATAAACGAGCCAATCTGTCAGTGTTTGCCTGGCTACCAAGGGGAGAAGTGTGAAAAACTGGTCAGTGTGAATTTTGTGAACAAAGAGTCTTATCTTCAGATTCCTTCAGCCAAGGTTCGGCCTCAGACAAACATTACTCTTCAGGTGAGAGGTCCATGTCCAGCGGATATGATCATTAACCAAATTCAGCTTGAAAGAATGAACATGCAGGTAGCTTGTAAATGGCAGTGTTTCTTAAATAGCTGGTTCACAACTGCATGGCACACTCAGAAAATTCTCCTTGTGTGCAAAGCTTTGGTAATTTTGCTCTCTGGTATTTTTATTCACTACCTGCTTTTGAGCTTGAAAAAATACAGCAACAAAGAATGCATCTCCTTTTTATGCTTGAGTAGAAGTATTTTATCCATTCATTTTATGGCTCTGCATTTCAGCCTCTGAGACTTTTCTTAGGAGACTCACCGCTAAGAAGGGAAGAGCTGAGGCAGAACAGCTGTTTATCCAGAACCTAAAACTGGAATGAAATTCACAGCCTTCAATTTTGAGTCTTTCTGCTAAGACACCCTTTAAACAAGTCTCTTCTACTCTAGGAAAAAGATGTTTTACTAGATTAGTGGTGGTCAATGTAGCAATACAGGACAAATTGTGGCTACCAGTTTACCTGGTAAGCAAGCATGCAGTATGCATCAGTATGAGGAATTCTAATATAAGTTATGAAAATCAAACTTGCTGTATACAGTTACATTTAGTATAGGCCAAAAATAAGGTCGATGACAGGAGAAGAAAGAGTAGGGAAATCTCCAGCAGAGAAAGCTCTGAGCATGTCCAGTATGTTCAGTGAAGTCTCCCTTGTTCATTGTCCATTTTTTATGAGTCTCTATACCACAGAGTTATCTGCAGACCAGTTTCCCTTCAAGTGGAGTTTTCAGTAGGCATTATTTTCTTCTAGCCGCAAAGAAAAAGATAAGCCAAAGTAAAACCCGCTCATTGTGCTTAGTCTTTTTTTTTTTTTTTTTTTTTTTTTTTTTTTTTTTTTTTTTTTTTTTTTTTTTTTTTTTTTTTTTTTTTTTTTGCTGAAATACACTTGCTTGCTGTACACCCCAGTAATGCCAAGGCTTCTCCCTACCAGATTGCCACAGATGAAGACAGTGGTATCCTCCTCTATAAAGGTGACAAAGACCACATTGCCGTGGAACTGTACCGAGGGCGCGTTCGGGCCAGCTATGACACTGGCTCTCTCCCAGCTTCTGCCATTTACAGGTGAAGGCCTCTCAGTTACTTGTAAAGGTGGAAAAACTGTTTAAGGAAGAGCTTCTTCTCTATAATTTCATAATGGGGAGGGGAGAGAAGAATTTGGCTACAGCAGGAGTCTTAGTCTGGTTTGTGCCGCTGTAACAGAACATTTCACTTTGTGTCATTTATAAGGAGTGGAAATCTGATTTACTTTTTACAGTCCCAGAGGCAAGGAAGTCCAAGGTCAAGAGGTGCACATCCATCGACCGAGGGTTTTTAGCTACACTAACCTGTGGTGGATGTCAGGAAGCAGAGCACACACACACACAAACAAGGGGCCCAAACTCATTCTTCTATCAGGATTGCACAATAACTTTCCCAGCACTGCCCCGATACCAGCATCAGTGCATTCACAGCCCTCATGAGCTACTCATTTCTTCAAGGCCCCTGCTGTCAACACTGCTGCCCGGGGGTCAGGTTCCCCACACATGAACTTCGGAGGATGCACTCACCTGTGCAGCAGGGTTTCTGAGAGCCTTAGGGTCAACACCAGCTCTCTATGCAGGAAGACTGCAGAGAACGAAACAAGACGAGTGCCGGGAAAGCCTATGGGCTTACTCTTTTATTCTTTAAGAGATTTAACTTTTCAGATAAGTAAACCTTTGTTACAAAGAGCCCTGTCACAGGCTGTGTAACCGGAGTGGTTCTGACTGCAGCAAACTAAAAGCTAATCTCTGTCACATCAGAACTCGGCTCTCCCGCGACACTTCCATCTGAAAATATGGACCTAGGTTGTGCCAGACTGCTGGTTTTTCTAAGAAAGGCAAAAAACCTCTGTGTGCATATGTATGTGTGTTTTTGTGTGTGTGTGCGTGTGTGTGTGTTTTACATATAAAGCTTTCTCTTTTAAATACTGATTCATGTTTTTAAATGCCACATATTTGTAAAAACACATCTGTAGGCCAAACACACTGGCAGCAAGTGACCAGACATTGATTTTAACATAAAGTGGAACTAGTGGCTGGCATCTTATTCTTCTATATACAAATGTTCTTTCAAGTCTTGCCTCTTCCTGGACCCTTTATAAGTAGGTCCAGGAACGTAGATGCCAAGTGTAGCCGAGATTAGAATTCAGTCAAGTCCTGTTTATAGTGAACTACCACACATAGAACCATGAGAGTGTGGGAACAGATACAAAATTATTGGTCTCCAAGAAGAATACAATAATTATTTCACTGCCAAATGGTTATGAACCCGTGCCGACACTTTAGGTATTATTAGGCTTTAAATTACGTAGGTTCAATGTGTTTTAGCTCATAAAAAGATTGCATAAATAGGCGCTTCATTTTTATTTCTTGATGATAATGAAACAGCATGAAGTTCCCAGAAACTATGGTGTAAGTTTTACGGTTGGCTTATTAAAGCTACCATGCACATGAAAGACATTGAAAATAGTTTTAGATAAATTGTAGAAACCTAGGTTATTATACCCAGATAAAGAACTAGTTTTGAAATGGTTTTATGTTCATTGCCATCTTTGCCTAACAAAAATTGAGCGTATCTTCCCTGTGACATTTATAAAAGCATGCCGTGTTGATGTTCTTCATTAGATGTGAGAAGTCCATTTTTCTGCTGGAAGATCTTGTAGTAGAGAAATATTGTGTGAGGAGGCCCATGGCAAACTTAACTTTAATTTTTGCCTTTGTAATGTATGAGACAACATTTGGGAAAAGCTGTTGCATTACTTTTTAGTAAAAGAAGATAAAAAAATAATTACCTAGAATTCAGATAGGCAGATCTTTATAGCATAATATGAATTTATTTTAATTATATATATAGTGTATCAAAGCAATTAATATACAAAAAAGTAAAGAAGGAAAGAAGAAGGGAAAGAAAGTGCTCCCTTAGGCAGCACATATACTAAAATTGGAATGAGAGAAGATTAGCATGGTCCCTGCACAAGGATGACATGCAAATTCGCAAAGCGTTCCATATTTTTATATAAAATGGAGTACTACTCAGCCATCAAGAATGAGAAGCTACAATCATTTATTGGAAAATGGATGCATACTGAGGCCCTACTCTTACGTGAAATAAATAGGACACATGTAAATACTGAATAGTTTCTCTGGTGTGAAAAACTAAAAGTGTAAATAAGGTTCAAATTGTATAACTGAGGTGAAATAGGGAGAAAAGGGCTAAAGGTGTAGAAGTGGGAAGCATAGGGGAAAGGAAGCAAGGGAAAAGAAAAAATATGAGAAAAGGAAAAAAATGACAGCAAAGTCTTTGTAAATAGGGAAGGGAGTAGGGGGTGAAGGGAGGGCAGGGATAAGGGGAAAAAATGAGAACCAAGACCTGTCACTTAAAGGTACAAGATCCCAGTTATGGATGTTAGTATACTGTATACCTACAAAGTACCAACAAACTCAATGAAAAAAAAAAAGAAACAAGGAAGTAAGAAGGTAGAGGGGAAGGAATGAGGGAGAAAAGTATATGTATGATATTGAAAGATTTCCAACTACATCACTCAGTTAAAAAGAAAAAATAAAGCAGAACAGTATCAAAGGAGGATGAAAAAACACACAAATCATATTTCCATGTGATCTCATAAAGAAAAATTAGGAGAGGAAAGAATGTGGTAGAAGCAAGGGTTTGCCATGAATACCACCTGATGCCATTTTGATTTGGACTACTCGAATGTTATCACCACAAATGAGATAATGAAAAAGAACCAGTGCTGCGGGACTCTGTGTTGTTCTGAGTCCCTGCTCTGCTTCAGTTAACTGTGTGTCTTGGACAAACTGTTGGCTTCTGGGCATCAGCTAATACATGAATATAATAAAATAGAGTCATACTTTAGAGATTTCAGTGAGAATTTTATTATTTGACTCATTTTATTGTTTGTTAAATTCATAAAATTATTTGTATAACCTCCAGAATAGTGCATGGCAAATAGTAACTGATGACAGCGACTGGTTTCATAAATTCAGAATGTTTCAAACTGAATTCCTTTCATTTTCCTCATAAGAACATGTGTTCCCATCACATTCTTTATTCATTAAAAGGCATCCCTAGTGTCTTGGGCATCACAGGTGTATTGGATTTACCCTTAATCCTTTTCTTCCCTTCACTTCAGTTTGTCTCAAATCTCAAGTCTGCTCCAGCTAATTTCCTGGCTTCTGTCCAAATGTCACAAAATGTCATGGCCTCTAACCTTGCTAGGTCTTAAAAAGTGCAAAATCTTTGAGGAAAGGTACCACTTCTCTATCATAAAATTCATCTATATCACTGTTGCGACGAGGTTTCCCTTAAATTACTGAGTAAACATAAAGCTTGGTTGGATTAAATTTTTTAATCATGATTCATTTCCAACTTATATATAGTTGTCAAAAATACATCATAGTGATGTTTTAAAAGAGAATATTTACACATTATTTCACAAAACTTATCCAGTTAAAGCTCAATTTCATTACCATGATTTCAGGTTTTATTAATTTTCTTTGATAAACCATTGTTTTCTAAATTATGCATATGTACTGTGCTATTAGAAATAAATGTATATATCAGTCTATTTTATACACTTTTAATTCGTTTTTCAACCTTAAGAAAATGGATTTTAGGGCTGGGGATTTAGCTCAGTGGTTCTACCACCTGCCTTGCAAGTGCAAGTCCCTGAGTTTGATCCCCTCTACCCCAAAAAAGAAAAAAAGAAAATGGATTTTATTTAGTAAAATGAAATCTGGTAAGTTGGCGGAAAGTACTCATACATTAATATATTGTTTCTATTGGGTATTTTTAGTTTAAATTACTTCATTTTGGGTACTAGTTATTGTTTGAAATAAATCAGTATGAGAAAAATTATTTAATGGAATTATACTCGGAGTGATGATTTGCAGTCCTTCAAAGTGACTTTCTTCTTTAGATAAAAGGACATTTTTAATAAAGTTATTAATATAAGATATATGCCCCTTTCTTTAGATTCAAATTAATGTCCTTTTCAAACCAGATATCTTCTTTGGAAACTAAGGTACTTTTTAAAAATAAGTACAGTAATTAAATGTAGTTTAAAGTGCATTTTTAAACATTACAAGTTGTAGTAATTATTCTTTTAGCAATTAAATGAAGGTTGTGTGCCTCTTTTGTCATTTCCTATCTCCAGTCTAAGTCAGAGATGGACACGTCCCGGCACTGGGCGTGTAGGCAGGGCGTAGAACAAGTGTGCTGGGCCGCACTTGTTGTTTCTTGATTTAGTAGGTCTTCAGAGGGCCCAAGAATTTTCATTTTTAACCAGTTCCCTGGTGATGTTATTTTCCAGGGACTACACTTTGAGAGCGGTTCCTCTAAAAGTAATGTACTCAAGCTGTGTTTTGAGAGCTGATAATGCACGTTTCTTCCCACATCCAAGTTCCGTTGTAGACATTCCTGGTGTCATCTTGAAATCAGCGATGTTGGGAGTTTTTCCGTCACAGAAATCAACAAATGTTACAGATCTGTGCTCTTTTCTTTTTTCCAAAGAGCCAACTTGTAAACATTTGTCAACACCCTGCTGAATAAAGGACCCTTACTAGCAACAACAGAAATGAAACGAGCTGACAAACAACAGAGTAAATGCAGAACATGCCTGATTTTTACAGTGCATAGAGAATAGCATAAAGGAGACTCAGAAGCAATGCCCCAAATGACTGAATGAATAGCTGTCTGACCTTAAAGTTTACATCAGACACAAGCCCTTAGACATAGATGGAGTAATGCATTTTTTTCTCAAGTGGCCTGATAATTTACTGCCTTTCAAAATAACTCTCTTAAAAGAAAGGGGAAAAACTTTATAGCAAAAGTTCTTAATGAAAAATATACTTCCTTCTTTATTTTCAAACTAATGTCATTTTCCAAATCAGCTAGCTTCTTTGAAAGCATTGTTAACTACTGTTTAAAAATTAGGAAATTGTATGAACCATGAGAATAATGTGCAAGATAATACTGTGCACTAATCAGTTTTCTGTGTAGAGTCACTTTCTACTGCCTCCTGCTCAGCTAAACTTGGGTGAGCACAGAGCTTTTGGAATGTCCTACCTAGGTTCTTTTTAAGGAAAGAATGACAGGAAGAAAGGGAAGGAGGGAGGGAGACTGAAAGAGAAAGGCATGGGACTGAGAGGAGGGAAAGAAGGAAAAGAGAAAAGACAGAGGAAGGAAGGAAAAAAAAACAGACTTGGACAGAAACAGAATCTGCTCCCATACTGCTCAGTCTCACTGGGGAGGCAGACAGTAGACGGAGTCTGGAAGAGGTCTTCACAGTCAGCCATTTTGATCCGTCATTTGGGAGTCACCGCCACCATTTGCTTTATAAACTTGGGTGGGTTGTTCCTCCTCTTGGTGCTCCCATTTCCTCGGGAGTCCTAATCTCTTCTCCACGTGCGGTTTGAAGAACTGGGAGGAGCAAATTCAAAGCCGCTTCCTCTGAGTGTAGCGCAGACCAGATCCAGGTCATCCGTTGCGCTGATGGCCATGGGCGTGCCTCATGCTCGGATACCCAAATACTGATAAATAAATATCCAAAGAGACCTTTCTGCCTCACATGTGACCCCACTGTATGTTCAACTGGAAAGCTTCCTTTCTATTTTACTGTTTCTATTTTCTATTATTTAAAATAATCTGCTTCAAAACCACCGGTTAGAATATATTACTTCATAAGTTATTTTAGAAAACTTTCTCATGAAGAACTCTTTGGGGTACATTAGGCATAAATACCTTTAAACTCATGTGACTTCCTAATCCTTTACATAGGCAGAGACATTTTTATTATCATCCCCACTTTATGGGTGAAATATTTTAGAGATGACCAGTTGATTTTTCTCTGATTTTAGAGTCCTATTCCATTATGTGAACTGTGCCACCAAATCTTTTCAATTTGTAAGGAAAAAAAGCTGGCATTCCTATAAGCAAAAACGAAATTTTATGCTTATTAAGCTACTGAAATAATGTAATATTTGTGGTTAGTGTAGAAATATAAAAAGTGTCATTGTTAGTGGGTGCTACACACATGAAGAAAAAGTATTTTAGAGGCGGCCCTCTTTTCTGTTAAGCCCTAAATTTTAAAGCTCTTTCTTATGTAGCAAACCAAAGGCATGGTTGAGAAATTGTGTGTTTTCGATGTATCTTTTTACAGTCTAGAATTCAACAAAACAAAATCTCAGGTAATAGATGAGTGTAGTAAAACTAAATTACATAATAATGGTAGTAAGTGAAATTTATGTGCCCAGTGGATAATCTCAAAGTTAAGTGGTTTGCTTGCTACTTTTCGTGAGTCATCAGATATATAGTTACCCAGGGACTGGTGAAAGAGAACTTACCAGTACTTATCAGAACTGGAAAAGACATTCTGCACTGCAAGTGGATGTGTCAAGAGCCAAGTATGATAGAAAGCAAAACCCATGATAGCTCAGTCTTGCAGTCTAACAAGCGATGTGTCAGTCATTGCTTTTCTTTTAAAAATGTACATAGACAAAGGATTGTGGGACAGCCCCCTGCCCCCACCCGGTTCATCTCATGTTAAGGAAGACAGCTGGGAAGGCAAATTTAGAATACTATATCAACTCTTTCCATAGTCTCTTCTGACCCATGCACACTGTATCACCTTATAATACAAAGAATCTGAAAGTGTGAATGTGGGCATACTTACATGTTAAAAGGCCAACATCAGGCCAGAATATAAAGTTATAATTATATAACCTCCAAACTTAACATTAAAAGATTATTGCTCTTTTTAAAAAATATTTTTTTAGAAAACACACCAAGTTGTGCAATCATCGTGTAAAGTTACTTGTTATGTGACTATTCCTGGGCTACTGGAGAAAGATGTCATATATTAAGGGCTTAACACCAGTGACAAAACATAATTGGTATAGTTATAGGTGCTTTTCAGATTTTGTTTAATTGAAAAAGCAGTGCATAATAATTAAAAGCACATATGCCTGAGTGAGGTAATCTGGCTTCAAATCTGATTAGCTATTAACAACTGTGTCACCTTGGGTACCATAAGTGCCTAAATCTTGTGAGGTTTAAATGAAATGACCCCTGTAAAGCTCCAGGACTGTACCTGGCCAATATTATGTGCTGTAGAATCCTCTACTGTTATGGCTAGTATTACTCTGATAAGGAAACATGGGGCCGCATTTACTCAGAATCACACATACAGCACAACTGGATCAAGCTGAACAAGGTATGTCTCTCAGCATTGTTCTTCAAGATACTGCCATGGAAAATTCCAAAATTCTCAACAAAACAAGTCTTTCAAAAGATCCCATCCTAAGTAAACTTCAGCCTATTAATTATAGATAATGAAAATCGAGTTCATATTACTTGTAAAACTCCCTGTTGTTTCTAATACATCTCTTTTTATGTACTCAGTGTATATTTATTGAACATTGTTTCCCAGGCACTCTGCGGGATACATTAAGGACTAGAGACATAAATAATATATTGCCCTTATTTAAAGAAGCTTACAATTAGAGTTAAAACTTGTACCTAAAACAAAATGGAACAAAGAAGCCAATAAAGGAGTAAAGTGAGTTGAAGAAAGGATCTACCTCTTGCTTCCCAGCCAGAACCACAGCATTAAGGCAGAAAACCTTCCAGGTCTTGAGCCGTTTGACTGTGCTGCACCAGACTCTGTCAGGAACACTGACCCAGCTGGATTGATTGTCTAAAATCAATGTGTGACCAAAACCCCATTCCTCAGTGTGTATATATAGATCTTTTATTTACAATTTTAAAAGCAAAAGGGATGCCTCATTATTAATATTTAAAATCTAATTGAGGTCACTATCCATGGACTATCCATACATAATCATTTAGAAAGGTGTTTGTGACCACAAAGAAAAAAGAAATTTGTTTCTACTCTCTTTATGTACATCTCTATTTTAATGCTTTACTCTAAAACTTTTAGTAACTTTGACAAGTCATACGTTGAAGAAGTTATTTTATTTCTATAAGTCTTTAGCATTATCTTATAATTAATGCTTTTATAAAAATTTGAATTTAAATTTTTCCTGAAAAAGTGTAAAAATACTATAGAATTATTTATTGATATGCTGGTGAAGGTGATGATGGTGATAGTGACACTAATATCTAACCTTAAAGTTGACCATGCTATGAATTTTATAAAATTATTTCATATAGTTTTCAAATTAGCCATAGGATGGAGAAATATTTACTAGGATTTAATAAAGGAGAAACTGAAGTGCATTAATAATCAAATATCTTGTCAAAGTTCAAATATTTAATAAATGCAGGAACCAGAACTCATCCAGATTTTTCTGACTCCAGAAACTCAATGCTTAACAACAAGCTAGTAACACAACTGTGTCTCTTTAGAAGAGAATCATAGTTAAGACCAATAACAGTTGATATGCAGTGTTATTTAGTAAGTAACATCCTAGACTATTGTTCCTCTTAATCTAGATTTAATGGTTATAGTTGTAGGACAAGTAAATATGTAGAAGACAAAACCATTAATTATTATTTCTAAAGTTCATTTTTAAATAATTGACACCCGCGCTGGGTTATTAAAGCTCACTCCACATATGAACTCATTTAACTATCTAAAGCAAAGTAACTTTTAATGCTTTTCCATTTCTGCAGAAATGTCCTCAAATCAAAAACCTTTTATTCTTAGTCAACAAACAGTAGAACATGACTAGACTGTGGGATAAGAATTGTGCAAAAATGTTAATACATTTTTCTGTCATTTTTCCAGGCTTGACCTTTTTGCACATTTAAATGTCAATGCCTGGAAGTTTAAGCAGTCATCTTGCTTAGGAAATATTAATGATTCACATTTAGGTCTAATCTCTCAGCCATGTGCTCCTGCACATCCCTTTGGAACCTCTTTTCTATCTTTCCAGAAAATATTCCATTGTGTTAGATCTTTAATGTTCACAATCATTCTTTACCCCAATTTCTATTCTGCCATCTTCTGCCAGTGTAGCGAAAGTGAGTATATTTTGACACGGCACTGTTATTGGTTTCATTTTCCTCCATTTCCCTGTGAGCTGCTTCATCTACTATAACATCAGAGATAGATTTGTAACTATAATTTAAAGTCATATAGCACCAATTCACACGTTGCACCACAAACTTCGTCTTATTTTGCATCTTTAGTTTTCTTCACTTCAGTTTCTTAATTTTTATACTTTTTAAAGATTTTATGAGTTTTGTAAGCCCTCGCAAGAGTTTAGGGGGCAGCAGGTACTAACGGATAGGCATTGCTCTTTAATGTTATAGAAGACTGGATTAACACTTCTTATTGCCAGACTCCTTAGACAGGACTCTGTTAAGCATTTTCTTTCACCTGTTATTCCCATCTTTATCCTGAGCAAAGACGTTTTTCCTGTAATGTCACCTGATGGGCATGCCTCTGAAAACTGTACAGTAATTAAAGGTATATTATCAATTTACAAGTTTTTACAAGTACAAAGATCCTACCAGGTCGGTTCTTCCTATATTGTTGTGTATGCTTGATTCTTCTAAGTCCCAACATACACTATTAAGAGATCTGTAAATCCCTTCCATAAATCCCCTACTGTCAGTGTCACTAGAGTCCATTTGGCACTGGTATAGGTTCCAGGTCTTTCTAATGTTGTTGCAGTGACAGTATCTTATCATGTGGCACTTTTGTGGCACTTAAAAGCAAATGTATGTTACCATTCATAATTGAGAGAATGTGGCTAGATAATAAATAAATTATCCAATTTATTCTCTCAGTGGGAGAACTACTCTTAGGTCCAGTTCCTGAGAACTTGGATTGATATCTCCTCGAATATATCCCTTAAAAAGATTAATTTGGGAGAGTAAAAATAAGATATGCTTATGTAGGCATGCCAACTCTCCACGATGACTCTAATCACTATGTACTGCACATATGCAGTAATACAAATTTTGATTAAAATTCCTAATTTTAAGGAAGCCCTCCAAAATCAACTTCCTTAATATCAGCTCTGAATGTCTCTTCCTAAGTAGTATTTATTGTAGTTGCACTTTAATAAAAGGCAAATCGAAGACCAGCTAAGTTTCGCTTCCATTGTAGCGTGGAGACCATCAATGATGGAAACTTCCACATTGTGGAGCTGCTCGCCCTGGATCAGAGCCTGTCCCTCTCTGTGGATGGAGGAAGCCCCAAGATCATCACCAACTTGTCACAGCAGTCCACCCTGAGTTTCGACTCCCCGCTTTACGTAGGAGGTAAGCTTTCTTCTACATTCAGTGGACCCCCAAACACTGAGGTGACTCTCATCATGGAATAACACTACAGTTATTGATGCCTGGTGTCGTTGTCATTGACCAAGACACCTATCACAGAGAGGTGGGCAGCAGGAGCGGAACAGAGCTAGTGTCGGGTAGGTGTTAAGGGAACAGTTGGTAATCCTGACTCTGGGTCAAGCTAAATGTATCATTGGGATAGAGAGGGTCAGGTAGTATTTCCTTTCTGCCCGGAACATGTTAGTTGATTTACTCATCATATCAGTTGATTACACATTTATTTGGCCTGTTGAAGAAGAACATTTGTTAGCGGTCAAAACAGACAATGAAGAAAATTATGAAACAAGCGAATACAAACAGGGCAGTGGGTATGACCACACCCCAGCTCCCAGGAGGCAAGCTCTGTCAGATGCCAATTTGCGAGAGTTCTTGCACTACCAGCCCCTCATTCATGAAGAAGATAGGGTGACTGTCAATGAATCACAAATGATTAATGAGAGACTTTAAACTTTTACGGATTGCATTGAGCTAGGAAGGAGATCTGCTTAGCAAAGTCCTTAAGGTCATGAACAATAGAGGAGAATGGGAAGGGAGGTTAGGGCTGGAAATGGCGGAGTGAAGATGCTTGGCTTTATTTTTGAGCAATGAGAAGGAAGATGAGTAAGGACATGAGGGAAATAAGTTTAAGGATAGGTTTTAAGGATCCCAGAAGAAAAGACCTACAAAAGAGGGAACGTTCACTCTTGGCTTTATCTGGAGGAGCAAGTACAAACTGAAAAAATGCATTTCAAATCTGAGGGAAAGGAGTAAGAAAGGAGGTGATGTTAAATTGAGATGCATGCCATTAAATTATATTAAATGGAGTTGATGAAATTCATTTTATAGATAACTAAGCAAAGCTCTGTCAGTGCACCTGATTTCTTCATCAAGACAGCTATTTTCGTAAAATTCACTTCATTCTTTGCACAGTAGCAACTCTAGGGTGCTGCACCATTACCTTAATTCCCATAAAGCCTTCCTTGAAGGCATTCCTTGAAATTGTCCTCTAAGCCCAGAATGCTTCTACTTTCAGCAATTTCAATACTGGGAAATTGTAACACTTAGAGTTGGAAGTTTTAGAAACAACTCAAGGTTTCCTATAAATATTATGGAACACCTATCATGAGCTAGGAACTAAGATAATGGATACATAAAGGATATGAAGAAAACAATAAATGTCTCCAGGAAAGTAAAGAATGCAGGTGCATTTTCCAGTAACAATACACAGTGCATTGTGATCCAAGTTGCATACTGAGTCTACTCAGCAAGTTGGCTTATATCATTAATTCATGGGAATCACAACTATGAAACTCATTAAAATTTTACTTGAAACTCTCCATTTTTCCTTGTACTCCAGTTAACAGGGTCGCTTTGGGATGGGTGAAACTATCCCAAATGTGATTTGAAAGAAAGGAGATTACATCTATTGAGCATGTGCTATGTGACTGACACAGTACCTCTTGTACAATCTTAATCCTTGGGGACCTTAGGAAGTAAGTCATATTTTCTCTGTTTTGCCATCCTTGGGGAACTGCCTGGGGGACTTTATAACACGTCGCAGTTCTCAAGGCTATATGTGGTAGTGGTACACACTTTATTTAAATCCAGGTCTGTCTGACTCCAAAGCCCCCTGCTGTCACTCACCTCTTAACAAACAGCAGATGGGCTGGGGATTTAACTCAGCGGTTCGGTGGCCTGCCTTGCAAGCGCAAGGACCCAAGTTCATTCCCCGCTACAAAAAAAAAAAAAAAA